TCTTTGGTATTTGGATTCCAGAACAATCAGTGAACATCTCCTGAAGACAGGTGGTTAAGGACCATGAATTTCAGTTGATTGGGATTCATCTGCGCCCCTCTCCATCACCACTGTTTGACTTAACCTTCGGCAACCTTTGGTTCTAATGGGGTTTGTTATGAATTGAATTGTGTCCCCCTCCCCTCAAACAACAGTTGTATTGAAGTCCTGGGCCCCTTCCCTGTGGATTTAAGTCTCCTTGGAAACAGTTTTTCTTCTGTTATATTAACGTGGTGGTACTAGAGCAAGGGAAACCTTAGAGCTAATCGCTACAGAGAGTGAACTCAACAGAGTTTTCTCGGCCTTAATCCTGTACAGGGTCGCTATGGGTCGGAACCGACTCGACGGCACTTAACAACAACAACAATCTTTACAGAAGCAGATATCCAGGGTTTGCTTCCATGACAACACCGGGTGGGTTTGAATTGGCAACCTTATTTTTTATTTTTTTGCTGGCATTGGCTGCTTTATTTAAGGACTCATGATAGCTGTTCCCTACCCATTCCCTTCCTCCTCTACAAAGTAAGTCAGCATGAAACAGCCTTCCAGGGAATGTGCGGGCTTGGGTCCCCACTAAAGGGATCTGGGGGTCAGGACCTTCAACCCTCAGCCTCAGAAGGTAAAGGAGGAGGGCGGTGAGAGGAGGTAAGATGCTGGCGGATGGGTGAGGAGGCTGCAGGGGTCCTGCCACAGCCTCTGCTGGACTGGCCTGTACCCAGGGCTGTCCGCGAGGAGGTGCCAAGGCCCTGGCCAGGGAAGACCAACGAGGCCAGGGAGGGCCCCTCCGCCCCAGCAGCCACTCTACTCCATGTCCCCCTGCACACACACACACCTGACCACGCACAGATACGCTTGTAGGCACGCACGCACACACACACTCACACACACACACGTCCACAGAGGGCTGGGACGACTGTGGACCCACACCCTGAACCCCTGGAATGTCTCTGGTTTGGTACCACCAGTGGGTGGGTTGGGAGGGGTGGGTCCTCTGTGTTGCTATTGGTTGGCTGCCTCACAGGTATCTATCCAATCACTGTCCACGTCCACAGGTTCTGAGAGATACGTGATGGGTGTCTGGAATTCCTCTAGGCACACGGTGCAAGGGCTGACTCCGGTGTTGCGGCCACGGTCCATTTTCACATCACAAGACTTCTTGTGGTTGCAGGACGGGCAGGTGAACTGCGTCTCTAGAGTGCCTGTCATCTTCTTCTTGGGGGGTGTCTTTCGTTTTGATTTTCGGCGCCCCATGTCCCCAGGAGGGTGAACCTTAACTTACCTTGCCTCGTTGCGACAGTCTTTTTGTTTATAATCGAGCACAATCGGTACCACCAGAAACTGTGAGGGTGACTCAAGATTGAGCAGTATTTCGTTCTGTTATACTTAGGGTAGATATGTTAGAATTAACTCGATGGCACCTAAGAACAATGACAACAAAGATCTTTACACATATGTAAACATAAAATGGCCAGTCAAAAAATATTGCTACAAAATTATTTGTTGTTGTTGTTAAGTGCCATCGAGTCGTTTCCGACCTATAGCGACCCTGTACAGGGTTTCCAAGGGTGTAAATCTTTACGGGAGTAGAAAGCTTCATCTTTCTCCCGCGGAGCGGCTGGTAGTTTCGAACCGCTGACCTTAAGGTTCACAGCCCGATTCGTAACCACTACGCTACCAGTTATAGCCACGTTTATTAAACAGAAATACCAACATGTAAAGCTATTATTTTTCAGCACATCCTCCATCTCCAAGTCCATACACATCTGGAAGGGCTGTTTCCATCTCTCTAACTCTGGTAGCGTAGTGGTTACGAATCGGGCTGCTAACCTCAAGGTCGGCAGTTTGAAACTACCAGCTGTTCCACAGGAGAAAGATGAGACTTTCTGCTCCTGTAAAGATTTACAGTCTCAGAAACCCTGTGCAGGGTCGCTATGGGTCAGAACCGACTCCACGGCACTTAACAACAACAGCTCTTCACTGAAGAATTTTGCACTTTTCAATTTGCACCGTATCAGAACAGCAGTTTGGGCATCCTTGAGGGATTCAAATCCTGTGTCTTTTGAAATGTTCTTTAAATTTGAGGAACAGAAAACAAGTCTGAAGGGGCAAGATCAAGGTTGTAGAATGGATGAGGTATGGTTTCCCAATGAAGTTCAACACAACAGCCCCTTCAGACATCTTTTTGTCCCCCAAACTCAAAGAGCACTGAAAAGGAGACATAATTTGAGTCTTTAGAGAATGGCAAACCTGCCGTTCTGATGTGGTGTCAATGGAAGATGACAGAATTCTTCAGGGATGGGTCGGAGAGATGGAACTACCACTTTTGGAAGTGCACAGAGCTTACGTTGAGAAAGAATAAGTTCACATTTTGATATTAAGTTTCTGTGATTTCATAACAATACTTTGTAACTTCCTCTCATAGGGAGAAAAAGTACAACAGACAGACAGACACACAGGGGCTGTGGTGGGTGGGAGAGGAGAGATGCCAAGGATTACAAAGGAACGCCAAGGAATTCTTGGGGCTACTGACAAAGAAGCACCCCCCCCCTCCCCTCCTCACCCCGGAGCCTTACCTTGGAGTCAGGGTTTTAAGCTCCATCGTGTAAAGCTCCTATTTCTGTTGTGACAACACTGGATAGTTAAGACAGTTCTGAATACCAAAGGGAAGATTTCACATCAAAAAAAGAATTTGCAATTCTGTGATTTGGAAAAGGATAACAAGATGAATCACACAGCCAAAACTCAAAATTATTTTTTTAAAAAAGACCAGGCAGGAGGGGATTGTAATCATTACAATCAAACAATGAATGTAAAACCAATGTTCTCCCATGTAAACGATCACTCAATTCACAATAAAAACTTAAGTTAAAAAAAGACCAGGCATATTGGTCAGAAAGAGACTGGTGGAACCCCAAGACTGTTGTGCTTTGTCATCCTTGAGGTCTAGAACTGAACTCACCCTCCAGGCTCAATTTTCAGCCACGTAGTAAACAGATCTACAGCAGGAACAACACTGGTAAGGTAGGCACACTGTAGAATGGTCAATCTTCAAACAGGCGGCATTTACCTAAAGAAAGCGTATAGAAGGATTGTGGACAAAGGTGGAAGGGAACCCTGAATTCCCAGGGAGGAAGTGGGGTAACTGATGGTGCGTGGAGGGGGTTGCACTCATTGAAATGAAGTCTATGATTTGTTGAACATGAAACTGATATCTCCTCTGTAAACCTTCACTCAATTCACAGTAAAAAGTTAGGAAAAAAGAATGATTGCACAGCTTGTAAACTATAGCACTGAAATGTACATTTAGTCATTGTCAAGATGGCATATGCTTTGTTGTACATATTTACTATAATGTGTGTGTGCGCTTTTTAATGCAAGTCTGGCTTTTTTTTTGAAAAATGTTAGAGACTCTGATGATGCTTGGCCCACCTTACCATATGGTAACAGTTGGCAAGAGCTTGGAGCCCTTGCCTCTTTGGGACAGAACGTATGAACTTTGTTTCTCCACTATTTCTACCGCTTCCTGTTATACTACATTCAGCTTAGCTCACTAACTTACCCGAGTCTATGTTTATGGGGAGTCCTGGACTCCTCCTGGTATGGCCCTGTAGGATCAGCACTGGACTGCAAACCACAAGGTGAGGAGTTCAAACCTACCAGCTGCTTCTCAGAAATGCTGTACAGGGTTGCTATGAGTCAGAACTGACTTGCTGGCACTTTACAACAACAGCATGGGGAGTCCTGGTGTGGCATTATAGGATAAACACTATACTGCTAAGTTCAAGGATAGTGGTTCAAACCCACAAGTAACTCCTCAGAAACCCTACACAGGGTCACTATGAGTTGTTAACAACAATAAAAATGGGTAGCCAAAATATTTAAGCACTCAGCTACTGACGGAAAGATTTTTGTTGTCATTAAGTGCCATCATGTTGGTTCCAACTCAAGCGACCCCGTATAGGGTTTCCTAGGAGCAATTGGTGTGCTTGAACTGCCTACGTTGCAGTTCAAATGGACAGTGTATTAACCCGCAGCACCAGATTGGTAGCCCAAACCTACCCAGAGGCAATTCAGAAGAAAAGCTAGGGGAACATCTTCTGAAAGGCCACAGCCCCTGAAAACCTGAAATTCCATTCTGACACGCAGGGACCACCGAGGAATGGATTCAATGGCGACCGGGTTTTGGTTTTCCCCATTTCTGTTGTCATTTGCATTTGAGGCCCTTGTAGGTTAGTAGCCAAGCACTTGGCTGCTAACTGTAATGTCGGCAATTTAAACCCACTAGCCGCTCTGCTGGAGGAAGATGTGGTGAAGTAGTTCTGTTAAGACTGAAACCTTGGATTCCCTGTGGGGTAGTTCCACTCTTACCTATAGGGATTTCTGTGCTTCAGAATTGAGGCAGTTGACCTTTTGCTTAAGGAGTCTGGTGACAAGGTGGCTAAAGCGCTCCCACCTCATCCTAAAGGTCAGTGGTTCAAACCCACCAGCTATTATTCCACCCGAGAAAGATGTGGCAATCTGATTCTTGACTGATTTACAACCTTGAAAGCCTCACGGGCAGTTCTCTTCTGTCCTGTATGGCTGCTGTAGGACAGAATCCACTCTAAGGTAACAGATTGTTTTTTTTCAGTTTGGGTAGGTATTTGGGTTTGAGGCCCCGTAGAATTTGAGATGGAGATCCCTGTAGGTATTTCAGTTTGAGACCCCTACAGACAGCATCTGTGCTTGATGAGGAGTGTTGGTGGGTGCTGTTGAACAAGTTCCAGCTCATAGTGACCCTGTATAGGGTTTCCACGGGCGGCTGGTGGGTTTGAACTGCCAGCCTTTGCATTACCAGTGCAGTGCATCTTTGATTCAACGTCTGTCTTTCCTCCTAGGTCTCTGGTACTGTCACATGATTCTCCTCATGCCCGATTCCCTGAGCTTCCTCTGCAGTTTGAGAGCTTCTCCTGGGACAGAATATGACCAACCTCACGGCCGTGTCTGTCTTCGTCCTTCAGGGCTTCTCCGTCATTCCTGAGTTACAGCTTCTATGCGTGGGTGCTTTCTTTCTCATTTACATCGCCTCCGTGCTGGGGAATGTCTCCATCGTGATTGCTGTGACCCTAGATGCCCGCTTGCACACACCCATGTACTTCTTCCTCAAACACCTCTCCCTGGTGGACATCTGTTCTACGTCCACCACTCTGCCCCGGGCCCTGGTGGCTGCCATAGTGGGTTCTAGGGAGATTTCCCTCTCTGCCTGTGCATCTCAACTCTTTGCCTTTGTCTGCCTGGGGTCCACTGAGTGTTTTCTCATCACCTCCATGGCTTACGACCGTTGCCTGGCCATCTACAGGCCCCTGGTGTATGGAGCAGCCATGAGTCCCCAGACCTGTGTCTTGCTGGTGGTGGTGGCCTGGGGCAGCGGGCTTCTCTTCTCCACCTTCCACACAGCCAACACCTTCTCCCTGCCCTTCTGTGGTCCCAACATGATTGATCACTTCTTCTGTGACATTCCCCCACTCATGCGCCTGGCCTGTGTCAACACAGATGCTCACGAGGCCATTGGATTTGCAGCCAGCGGCTGCGTTATCATGAGTTGCTTCGCCCTTACCGTCCTCTCCTACATCCGCATCTTGGCCACCATGGTCCAGATCCGCTCGGCCGCTGGCCGCCAGAAGGCTTTCTCCACCTGCTCATCACACCTGGCCACGGTGCTGCTGTTTTATGGTACCGGCACCTCTGCTTACATGCGGCCCACTGCCCGCTACTCCCCACTGCAAGGGCGCCTGGCTGCGGTCTTCTACTCTATCCTCACACCCAGCCTGAACCCACTTATCTATAGCCTGAGGAACAAGGACATGAAGGGGGCCCTGCAGAAACTCTACCTCCAGGTGCCATCCCCTAGAGCCTAGAATCGGGGTGTGGGGAAGTGTTATGGATTGAATTGTGCCCTCTCCAAATATCTGTCATAAGTCTTAACCCTTATACTTGTGGACTCCTGGTGTGGCACTGTGGGATCAGCACTGGAATACAAACCATAAGGTTGATAGTTCAAACCCACCAACCAGCTGCTCCTGGGAAACCCTACACAGGGTCACTGAGTTGGAACCAACTTGATAGCACTTGACAACAACATACTTACAGAAGGAGCATGGTGGCTCCATAGGATAAGCACTGGACTGTGAACCACAAGGTCAGTGGTTTGAGTCCACCAACAGCTCCTCATGAGAAAACCACCTTTCTGCTCCCCTAAGATTTACAGTCTCAGAAACCCTGTACAGGGTCACTATGAGTCGGAACCAACTCAACGACACTTAACAGCATAATTGTGGAAAGGAACCTCAGTGGAGCAGTGGTTACATGCCCCTAACTGAAAGTGGTTCAAACCCACCACCCACTCTGCAGGAAAAAGGTGTGACCGTCTGCTTCCCAAAGATTTACTTATGGGACAGTTCTACTCTGTCCTACAGGGCCACTGGTATTGTTGTTATGTGCTGCGGAGTTGGTTCTGACCCATAGCGACCCCATACAGGGTTTCCGAGGCTGTAAATCTTTATGGGAGCAGAAAGCCTCATCATTCTCCTGCGGAACAGCTGGTAGTTTTGAAATGCTGACCTTGCAGTTCACAGCCCTATTCGTAACCACTATGCTACCAGAGCTCCACTAGGAGACGGAATTGCCTTGACAGCAACAGGTTGTTTTTTGTTTTGTTATTTTTAATATTTATAGAAGCTCCTCTTCTGTGGAGACACTGGGTGGGTTCAAACTGTCCATCTTTGTGTTAGCAAGTGTTCTTCTGTAAAGCAGGACTTTCTTTCATGAGTGCTCTATGTGGTTACGGCTCCATTTAAAACAGGGTGAACGGATGAGCAGTGGGCCTCTCTTCAGCATAAAGAATCGAGGCACCACGGGCTGCTGGTGTCCCAGAAGGCGCCATGATTTGTTGAAAAGATAGGTATAACCCCCAGCACAAGTGCACTGATCTTTAATTGGGGTGGTCACCACCTTGTACGCATGCGAAAGCTGGACAGTGAATAAGGAAGACAGTAGAAGAATTGATGCCTTTGAGTTATGGTGTTGGAGGAGAATATTGAAAGTGCCATGGGCTGCCAAAAGAACCAATAGATCTGT